GAGCAGCGCAAGGGGAGCGGGTCCTGGAGCAGTGCAAGGGGAGTGAGTCCTGGAGCAGCACGAGGGGAGGGAGTCCTGGAGCAGCGCGAGGCCTGGAGCAGCGCGAGGGGAGCGAGTCCTGGAGCAGCGCGAGGGGAGCGAGTCCTGGAGCAGCGCGAGGGGAGCGAGTCCTGGAGCAGCGCGAGGGGAGTGAGTCCTGGAACTGACCTTGAAGCAGCTGAGTGCCGGTACAGAGCAGACTGGAAGTTTGGAGCAGAGTGGGTATGGCTGTTAGAATGGGGCCTGGTGTGGGGGGTCAGACCCTGTGCTGAGCTGCTACAACGTAATGTGTATTTGCAATTTTTTACACGGCTGTAATGTCAATCCTTTAACAATGTCTTATTTCTAACTTTTTTTTAAGCTCTGTAAAGTAATGCAACTACTTTTTATTCCTGTGCTGTATCCAAGATTTGTACCTGTACCTGTACTTTTGCCTAAGATAGCGCCATAAGTGGCAGACATTGTAAAAACTTTTCACTTTACTTCTACAACAGAGTACACATGACAATGAAGGATATTCTATATTCTATTCTAATAAACCTCCCACCACATGGCACTGTAACAAATGCTTTCTGAAAGTCCAAATATACAACATCCACAGCATTGCCCTCATCCACTGCCTGCGTCACCTCATCAAAGAACTCAATTAAATTTGTCAGACATGACCTGCTATTGACAAAGCCATGTTGGCTGCCTAGTTTTAACTTATTTTTCTCGAAGTGTACATTTATCTTATGAAGTATTATGGCTTCCATCAGTTTTCTGATTATTGATGTCAAGTTGATAGGGTCTGTAGTTTCCTGGGTTATCTTTTTGCCCCTTTCTTAAACAACAGTGTGACATTTGCAATCCTCCAAACCCCTGGGACTAATCCCGTCTTTGGACAGGTCTGGAAAATTTCTGTCAACCGCTCTGCAATTTGCTCCCTTAACTCTCTCAGCAATCAAAGATGCATCCTATTTGGACCTGGCAACTTCTCCAGCTGGAGTTCTACCAGCTTTTTTTAGCACATCTTCTTTATTTATCATTATGCTGCTCAGTTGATCAATGCCCACATTTTCACCAGTTGCCACCATGTTCTGATTTGGGAATATTAGACCAGGAAGCAAACTGTCCCTTTGTGAACTCATTATTTTGATGATTGCCCATTATTGTCCAAGAGGTCCAAGGTAATAGATACACAGGAAGGGATTACGGACAAGTTTCCCTCTGAGCCATTCACCATCCTGACCTGGAAATATATCGCCGTTCCTTCACTGTTGCTGGGTAAAAATCCTGGAATTCCCTCCTTAAGGGCATTGTGGGTCAACCACAATGCAGCGGTTCAAGAAGCAGCTCACCACCACCTTCTCAAGGGGCAACTAGGGATGGGCAAGAAATGGTGGCCCAGCTAGTAATTGATGCATCTCCTGGTGAATGCATGGTTCATTGAACTCTAAAGAGTTCTCCAGCTATGATCTAACCGGTGCTCCGTACCAGGGTGAAAGAAGACAGCTAATACGTCTCAGCAGCTCCATTGACTTTTCCATGCATTCCCCTAATTCCACTGTCAACCTCTGGATGGGTGACTGGGAAATTCCTCTCACACCAAGGAGGTGATATATTATTTCACTGTTGACACATGCACTGTGCTCCAGGCCTGCTCGAAGCTGTCTCAATGTCGGGCTATAACCTGTACTTTACCGACACTGTGGTCCCATCAAAAGGAACACTGAGACCGTGGCCAACCTTCACTCGGTAAACACTCTGTGGCGGGGAATTTGTAAAATGCAGAAAAATAACATGGAGATCTTTGCTTCAAGAAATTCTTCCATGAAGCAAGTGGTTACACATTGGTGCCAATTCCCCGAAATATTAAAAAAATACAAAGGTTGAGATTCCAGAATTTACATTCATTGGCTGGGATGCCACTAAAATATTTATAACAGCTGATCCAATGCTGTTAGGGAGGGAATTCCAGGATTTTGATCCAGCGACAGTGAAGGAACGGCAATAAGACTTTATGATAGGAAAAGTTTAGAGGGATATGGGTCAAATGCAGGAAAGTGGGACTAGTTCAGTTTGGGAAACTTGGTCAGCATTGGTGTGTTGGACTGAAGGGTCTGTTTCTGTGCAGGATGACTGTATGACTATGAATCTATGGTATATTTCCAAGTCAGGATGGTGAGTGGCTCGGAGGGGAACTTGCAGGGGGTGGTGTGATCATGTATCTGCTGCCCTTGACGTTCTAGATGGAAGTGGTCGTGGGTTTAGAAGGTGCTGTCTGAGGATCTTTGGTGAATTTCTGCAGTGCATCTTGTAGATAATACACACTGCTGCTACTGAGCGTCGGTGGTGGAGGGAGTGGATGCTTTTGGACGTAGTGCCAGTCAAGTGGGGCTGTTTTGTCCTGGATGGCGTCAAGCTTCTTGAGTGTATTCCACTGTACCATCACCTCTGGAGAGAAAGTACACAACCAGGGATAGTAATGGTGCCTTGAGTCAGTCAGGTATGATTGTGTGATTATAACTGTGTCATGGTGTTCCTTGATGATCTGAGAGATAGCTCTCCAAATTTTGGCATAGATGTCGTAACAATGTTGCTCAGCCTTTTCAGAGGGGAGCTGAGATGCAACCACAATAGGGAAGGCAATGGCTTAGTGGTGTTATCACTGCACTATTAATCCAGAGACCCAGACAATGCCCTGGGGATCCAGGTTCGAATCCTGCCAGGGCAGATGGTGGAATTTGAAATCGATTAAAATCTGGAATTTAAAGTTACATGATAACCATGGAAGGGGGAAACTGCCATCCTTACCTGGTCTGGCCTATATGTGACTCCAGACCCACAGCAACACTTAACTGCCCTCTGGGCGATTGGAGATGGGAAATAAATGCCCTCATCCTGTGAAGGAATTAAAAGTGTTATGGGTCTGTAGCCATGTATAGGCCAGACCAGGAAAGCACGGTGGATTACTAACTCTAAAGGTCATTACTGATCCAGATGGGTTTTTACAACAATGAATCATGGCCACCTTTAAACAAGCTTTTCGTTGAATTCTGTTCCGAAGAAGGGTCACTCGACTCAAAACGTTAACTCTGTTTCTCTTTCCACAGATGCCGCCAGCCATTTTTTCCAGCATTCTCCGTGTTTGTTTCAGATTTCCAGGATCCACTGTTCTTTGTTTTATTTCAGTGTCAGAAATTGGGGAGTTTGATTTCCAGGCCGCTGAGCTTGCGAGATGTCACAGGTTGTCCCAGGGATAAGGAATCTCATTTGTGAGGACAGATTGGAGAAGTTGGAAGTGTTTTCATTGGACAGGAGAAAGCGAAGAGGAGATTTGATTTGACAGAAGTTTTCAAGATCATGACGGGTATAGACAGAAGGTTGGAGGACCTGGTGCAGTGAAAATGGTTCTTCTCCTGTTCTATTGTAACAGTCCGAAGTGCCTGAATGGCCTTCATCATCATAGAATTCCTACAGTGTGGAAACAGGCCCTTCGGCCCAACAAGTCCACACCGACCCTCAGAGCGTCCCACCCAGACCCATCTCTGTATAACCCACTGAATTTACACAACACTATGGGTGATTTAGCATGGCCAATCCACCTAACCTGCACATCTTTGGACTGTAGGAGGAAACTGGAGCTCCCGGAAGAAACCCACGCAGACACGGGGAGAACATGCAAGCTCCACACAGATAGTCGCCCAAGGGTGAAATTGAACCCAGGCCCCTGGCGCTGTGAGGCAGCAGTGCTAACCACTGAGCCACCGTGCTGCCCCAAAATCCAGGGAGTTGAGCTTCCACTAAGCACCGTGAGCCTTCACCTGTAGCTGCGTAACAAGCCAAACGAACTGGGCCAGTTTCAATGCGGTATGAGCAATATAAATACCACTGATCATCGGACTTACATAGGTGTCATGGTCATACAACTCAACCACAATGTTGGGAGGGGTACTGGCGATGATGCTGGTCTCACTGAAAATCTCCACTTCATGGAAGATGAGTGTCTGGTCCCAGGTGGGGTTCAAGGTGTTTTTCATCGTGACAGTCGCTTGGCTTTGGTGCAGGAATGAGACGATAGCGTATGGGTCTGTAACGAGAAGATAAACAACCAGGCAAGTTTACGTGAGGAACCCTCAACCCAATCAATTAGAGTTGGCACAGAATGAGTTTTGCTTAATCCATGCATGGGACGTGGGGACGCTGCTGGCTGGGCCAGCATTTATTATCTATCCCTGGTTGCCCCTTGAGAAGGTGGCAGTGAGCTGCCTGAGAAATATAGGAACATAGAAACATAGAACAGCAGGAGGAGGCCATTCGGCCCTTCGAGCCTGCTCCGCCATTCTTCATGATCATGGCTGATTGTCCAACTCAACAGCCTCATCCTGTTTTCTCCCCATAACCTTTGATCCCATTCGCCCCAAGTGCTATATCTAGCCGCCTCTTGAATATATTTAATGTTTTGGCATCAACTACTTCCTGTGGTAATGAGTTCCACAGACTCACCACCCTCTGGGTGAAGAAATGTCTCCTCATCTCCGTCCTAAATCATCCACCCCGAATCCTCAGACTGTGAAACCCTGGTTCTGGACACAACCACCATCAGGAACATCCTCCCTGCATCTACCCTGTCCAGTCCTGTTAGAATTTTATAAGGCTGTATGAGATCCCCCCCTTATTCGTCTGAACTCCAGTGAAAACAGTCCTAACCTAGTCAATCTCTCCTCATACGTCAGACCCACTAACTCCGGAAACAGACTGGCAAACCTTTGTTGCACTCCCTCGAAAGCAAGAGCATCCGTCCTCAGAAAAGGAGACCAAAACTGCACACAATATTCCAGGTGTGGTCTCACTAAGGCCCTGTATAAGTGCAACAACACATCCCTTCTCCTGTACTCAAAACCTCTCGCGATGAAGGGCAACATACCATTTACCTTCTTTACCGCCTGCTGCACCTGCATGCTTACCTTCAGCAACTGGTGCACAAGGACACCCAGGTCCTGCTGCACACTCCCCTCTCCCAATTTACAGCCTTTCAGGTAGTAATCTGCCTTTTTGTATTTGCTTCCAAAGTGAATAATCTCACTTGAGCACGGGTGAGGTCCCGGAGGACTGGAGAATTGCTAATGTTGTCCCCTTGTTTAAGAAGGGTAGCAAGGATAATCCAGGTAATTATAGACCGGTGAGCCTGACGTCAGTGGTGGGGAAGCTGCTGGAGAAGATACTGAGGGATAGGATCTATTTACATTTGGAAGAAAATAAGCTTATTAGTCATAGGCAGCATGGTTTTGTGCAGGGAAGGTCATGTCTCACCAACTTGATAGAATTCTTTGAGGAAGTGACAAAGTTGATAGATGAGGGAAGGGCTGTGGATGTCAGAGGATTAGATAGGGTGGACAGTGGAAGCCTTTTTCCTCGGATGGTGATGGCTAGCACGAGCAGACATAGCTTTAAATTGAGGGGTGATAGATATAGGACAGATGTCAGAGGTAGGTTCTTTACTCAGAGAGTAGTAAGGGCGTGGAATGCCCTGCCTGCAAAAGTAGTAGACTCGTCAACTTTAAGGGCATTTAAATGGTCATTGGATAATGGAATAGTTTAGGTTAGATGGGCTTCAGATTGGTTTCACAGGTCGGCGCAACATCAAGGGCCGAAGGGCCTGTACTGCGCTGTAATGTTCTATGTTCTATGTTCTATATACACGGACTTCAGTAAGGCGTTTGATAAAGTTCCCCATGGTAGACTGATGGAGAAAGTGAAGTCGCATGGGGTCCAGGGTGTACTAGCTAGATGGATAGAGAACTGGCTGGGCAACAGGAGACAGAGGGTTGTAGTGGAAGGGAGTTTCTCAAAATGGAGAACTGTGACCAGTGGTGTTCCACAGGGATCCGTGTTGGGACCACTGTTGTTTGTGATATACATAAATGATCTGGAGGAAGGTATAGATGGTCTGATTAGCAAGTTTGCAGATGACACTAAAATTGGTGGAGTAGCAGATAGTGAAAGGGACTGTCGGAGAATGCAGCAAAATATAGATAGATTGGAGAGTTGGGCAGAGAAATGGCAGATGGAGTTCAATCCAGGCAAATGCGAGGTGATGCATTTTGGAAGATCCAATTCAAGAGCGAACTATACGATAAATGGAAAAGCCCTGGGGAAAATTGATGCACAGAGAGATCTGGGTGTTCAGGTCCATTGTACCCTGAAGGTGGCAACGCAGGTGGATAGAGTGGTCAAGAAGGCATACGGCATGCTTTCATTCATCGGACGGGGTATTGAGTACAAGAGTTGGCAGGTCATGTTACAGTTGTATAGGACTTTGGTTCGACCACATTTGGAATACTGCGTACAGTTCTGGTCGCCACATTACCAAAAGGATGTGGATGCTTTGGAGAGGGTGCAGAGGAGGTTCACCAGGATGTTGCCTGGTATGGAGGGTGCTAGCTATGAAGCGAGGTTGAGTAGATTAGGATTATTTACATTAGAAAGACGGAGGTTGAGGGGGGACCTGACTGAGGTCTACAAAATCATGAGAGGTATAGACAGGGTGGATAGCAAGAAGCTTTTTCCCAGAGTCGGGGACTCAATTACTAGTGGTCACGATTTCAAGGTGAGAGGGGAAAAGTTTAAGGGAGATATGCGTGGAAAGTTCTTTACGCAGAGAGTGGTGGGTGCCTGGAATGCATTGCCAGCGGAGGTGGTAGAGGCAGGCACGATAGCATCACTTATGATGTATCTAGACAGATACATGAATGGGCAGGGAGCAGAGGGATACAGATCCTTGGAAAATAGGTGACAGGTTTAGATAGAGGATCTGGATCGGTGCAGGCTTGGATGGCCGAAGGGCCTGTTCCTGTGCTGTAATTTTCTTTGTTCTTTGTTCTTAATCCAAATTATACTGCATTTGCCGTTGATTTGATCAATCACCCAACCTGTTGAGATCATGCTGAAGGATCTCTGCATCCTCGTCACAGTTCACCCTCCCACCCAACTTGGTACCATCTGCAAACTTGGAGATGTTACATTTTGCTTCCTCGTCGAAATCATTAATATTTATGTCACATGTAGAGTAGACCAGGTAAGGATGGCAGTTTCCTTCCCTAAAGGACATCAGTGATCCACGTGGGGTTTTCCCAACAATTGACAATGGATTCACAGTCATCATTAGATTCTTAATTCCAGATATTTTATTGAATTCAAATTCCACCATCTGCCATGGCAGGATTTGAACGCGGGTCCCCAGAACATTATATGGGTCTCTGGATTAACGGTCCAGTGATAATGCCACTAGGCCATCACCCATCCTACAGTTGCATGTCTGCTAGTTACATCTTCACGAATTCCAACAGATTTGTCAAGCATGATTTCCCTTTCATAAATCCATGCTGATTCTGTCTGATCCTGCCACTGCTTTCTAAATGCTCCGTTATAAAGCTTTTGATAATGGATTCAAGACTTTTCCCCAGTACTGACTTTAGGCTTACTGGTGTATAATTCCCTGTTTTCTCTTTACCTCCCTTTGTGAATACTGGAGAGACATTAGCCACCCTACAATCTGCAGGGACTGTTCCAGAGTCTATAGAATCCTGGCCTTCTTGAACCACTGCAGTTGATTGAGCCACAATACCACTGGGGAAAGAATTATTGCTCGATACTTTTTACATGCTTTTATTACTTGTTGATTACAGCCTTTCTCACAGAGTTGCGACTGTTTTGGCGGCAGGGGGGGTCTATACACTGTTTCCCTTATAGCTTCCCCCCCACCCACCCCCCCAAATGGACTCTCTATCATCCAAACCCAGATCATCTCTCACAACTGTCCTCATTTCATCTCTTATTAACAGTGTCACCCTTCCACCTTTCCAATCCCTCTTGTCTCTCCAAAAGTTAAAATATTCCTGAATCTTATGTTCCCAGTTTTAATCTCCTCATAACCATGATTCTGTAATGGCTATGAAATCATATTCAACACCCCCTCCCATTCCCTGGGTGACATGTCCATCCTGGGCCTCCTCTAGTGTCACAATGACACCACCCGCAAACTGGAGGAACAGCACCTCATATTCCGCCTTGGGAGCCTACAGCCCGATGCCCTAAACATGGAATTCACCAGTTTTAAAATCTCCCCAGCCCTGGCCTCATCCCATGCCAGCCCTCCCTCTCATCCCTGCCTCCTTGACCTGTCCATCTTCTCTCCCACGTATCCATCCCCACCCTTCCCACTGACCATCCCCACTACCTGTACCTGCATCCACCTATCACTATCCCACCTATGTTCCCCACCCCCACTTCCCTCTCTCTATTTACTTCCCAGCTCCCTTCCCCCTCCCCAGTCCTGAAGAAGGGTCCCAACCCATCAACGCTCCTGCTCCTCTGATGCTGCCTGACCTGCTGTGTTCCTCCAGCTCCACACTGTATTGAATGAGATCGTATTCAGTTCGTTCAATTTGCACTATCAATTTGGCTATCTTATTCTGAATGCTTCATGCATTAAGATACAAAGACTTTAAGTTTATTCCATCAGTTTCCCTGCACTTTAATGGTCCCTTGATGCAATATGACATTCACATACTCCATCCCTATCTTTCCTCATAACCTAAATCACTAACGCGCAATCCTGCCTCCTTCTTTATCTTGGATTTTCTTATTTTCCATGCAACTGAACCCACCCTGCCCTCCAAATATTTAGTCCACAGCCCTATTAGTACGGCCTTAGTTTGGTGATTTTTCAGGACTCTGCTCCCAGCAATGATTCAGATAGAGCCGGATTGGCTAACCAACAGAAAGCAGACAGTCAGGATCAACAGATCATTCTCTGGTTCAGTCCCCTTACTTGTGGAAGCATGTAGCTGCATTGGAGAAAGATCAGAGAAGGTTCACTAGATTGATTCCAGAGGTGAAAGGATTGTTTCGAGGAGAAATTAAGCAGTTCAGGCTTATAATCACTAGAGTTTAGAAGGATGAGAAGAGACTCAATTGAGGTACAGGAGATGGTGAAGGGGATTGACAAAAATCAAAGTAGAGAGGATGTTTAATTTAATTTTTTTTAAAATTCATTCACGGGATGAGGGTGTCGTTGACCAGGCAGCA